AAAAAGAAAATTTTTTTTTCCTTTTTTAAAAAATAAAAAAAAAAAAAAAAATTTTTTTTTGGGGCCCCCCCTTTAAAATTTTTAAAAAAAAAAAAAAAAAATTCCCTTTTTTAAAAAAAGGGTTTTTTTAAAATTTTTTTTTACCAAAAAAAAAAAAAAAAAAAAAAAAAAAAATTTAAAACCCCCCCCCCCCAAAAAAAATTTTTTTTTTTTTTAAAAAAAAAAATTTAAAAAATTTTTTTAAAAAAAAAAAATGTTTTTTAATTTTTAAAAAAAAAAAAATTTTTTTTTTTAAAAAAAAAAAATTTTTTTTTAAATTTTTTTTTTTTTTAAAAAAAATTTTTTTCCCCCCAAAAAAAAATTTTAAAAAAGGGGCCCTTTAATTTTTTAAAAAATTTTTTGGGTTTTTAAAAAATTTTTGGGGGGGGGTTTTAAAAAAAATTTTTTTTTTAAAAATTTTTTTTAAAAATTTTTAAAAAAAAAAAAATTTGGAAAAAAAATTTTTAAAAGGGGGAAAAAAAATTTTTTTTAAATTTTTACAAATTTTTTTTTTAAAAAAAAAAAAATTTTTTTTTTTTTTTAAAAAAAAAAAATTTAAAAAAAAAAAAATTTTAAAATTTTTTTTAAAAAAATTTTTTTTTTCCCTTTTTTTTTTTGGGTTTTTTTTTTTAAAAAATTTTTAAAAAAATTTTAAAATTTTTTTTTTTTTTAAAAAAAAAGGTTTTTGGGGAAAAAAAAAAAAAAAAAAAAATTTTTTTTTTAATTTTTAAAAAAAAAAAAATTTTTAAAATTTTTTTTTTTGCAACCAAAAAAAAAAAAAAAAAAATTTAAAAACCCCCCCTTTTTTTTTTGGAAAATTTTTTTTTAAATTTTTAAAAAAAAAATTTTTTTTGGGTTTTTTTTTTTTTTTTTTGGGGGGGGGGGGGGGGGCCCCCCCCCCTTTTTTTTTTAAATTTTTTTTTTTTTTTTAAAATTTAAAAAAATTTTTTAAAAAAAAAAAAAATTTTTTTTTTTTTTAAAAAAAAATTTTTAATTTTAAATTTTAAAAAAAAAAGCCCTTTTTTTTTAAAAAAAAAAAAAAATTTTTTTTTTTTCGCCTTTTTTCCCAAAAAAAAAAAAAACCCCCCTTTTTTAAAAAATTTTTTTAAAAAAAAAAATTTTTTTTTTTTTGTTTTTTTTTTTTTTTAACCCCAAAAAAAATTTTTTCCCCCAAAAAAAATTTTTAAAAAAAAAGGGGTTTTAAAAAAAAAAAAAATTTTTAAAAAAAAAGGGGGGGGGCCCAAAAAAAAACCCCCCCCTTTTTTTAAAAAAAAAATTTTTTTTTTTAAAACCTTTTTTTCCCCCCCCTTAAAATTTAAAAAAAATTTTTTCCCCCCTTTTAAAAAAAAAGGGGGAAAAAAAAAAAAAAATTTTTTTTTCCCCTTTAAAAAAAAAAAAATTGGGGGTTTTTGGGGAAAATTTTCCCCCCCCTTTTTTTTTTTTTTTTTAAAAAAACCCCCCTTTTTTTTTAAAAAATTTTTTTAAAAAGGGGAAATTTTTGAAAAAATTTCCCCCCCCTTTTTTTTTTTTTTGGAAAAAAATTTTCCCCCCGGGCCCCCCCCCCCTTCCCCCCTTTTTAAAAAAGGAAAAATTTTTTCCAAATTTTTTAAAAAAAAATTTTTTTTTTGGGGGGGGGAAAAAATTTTTTTCCGTAAAAAAATTTTCCCAAAAAAAAATTTTCCCCAAAAAAAAAAACCCCAAAACCTTTTAAAAAAAAAAACCCCAAAAAAAAAAAAAATTTTAAAAAAAAAAAATTTTAAAAAATTTTTTTTCCCCAAAAAAAAAAAAATTTTTTCCTTTCCCCCCCTTCCCCAAAAAAAAAAAAAAAGGAAAATAAAGGGGCCCAAAAACCCAAAAAGGGGGGGGGTTTTTTCCCCCCCCCCCCCCCCAACGGGAAAAAAACCAAAAAAAAAAATTTTTTTTTTTGGGGGGGGGGAAAAAAAAAAAAAAAATTTTTTTTCCCAAAATTTTTTTAAAAAAAAAAAACCCCCCCGGTTTTAAAAATCTCCCACAGTGGTAACAGTAGCAGTCATTCTGGTCACCATCATGGTAGCAATGGAAGTACGAATAGGCCTGGGTGCGTGAATCCCGTAGACCTCTCGGTCCTGCATACAAATGGTAAGTTGACCTAGTGACCTAATTTTGATTGTCTGCAATTTACCTGTACATATGTCACACAAATAAGCCAGGAATGATACATTAGTACATTATCTCTTATATAAAACTTGACACAGAAATAAAAAGATAGAAACATCATATTAAAACCATACTGAATTCTGTACATCGGAACTTCTACTCAGGTGCCCGGCCGTGCCTGAAAAAAATGCATGGAGGGGCACCTGAGGTCTTCCTCCACCAGTCAAGCTGGAACATCACCAAATGACCTAAAATGTGTCAGTGTGATGTAAAATCAAAGTAAAAAAAGTAAAAAAAAGAATTCTCTGTACAGTATGTAATGGAAAAAGGCTTGTCAAATAGAATTGTTAAAGAAATAGGGTACAAATTACTAGCATGGGGAAAATTTTGTGGCTTTTATATACAAGTTGTTTGATATTAATTTGACATACACCCACAATGCATCACAAATAACATTAAAACAGGAAGCGATATACCTTGAGTTAAAGTCTTGCTAATGATATTCTATGATATGTCATTTGACTGGTTGCTATGGCAATACATTGAATTCTGCTTCGTGAGTGAAGTAATGATATTCATACCAACTTCCTGTCACGTAGAATTGCTGATAATGGGTGATTTATAAATTGATACTGAATAATGAGATTGATGATAAGTGACCTAATTCTTTACCCATACCAACCTAGATATCATAAATGGGCTTGTTTGTCCTTCAAAATAGACAAAACCATTCAATATTTTTAGGGAAAAAAATTCAAAATATGTAGTGACTGTACCCTTATCATTCTAAATGTCATAAATGGACTTGTCCATCTTTCAAAATAGACAAAACCATTCAATATATTTAGGGAAAATTTCTTCAAACTATGTATTGACTGTACCCTTACCACCCTAGATATTATAAATGGACTTGTCCATCTTTCAAATTGGACAAAACCATTCAATATTTTTAGGGGTAAATTTCAAAATATTTAGTGATTTAAAAGCTAACAGTGCAGATCATGATCAGATGGCACATTTGTTGGCTGGTCTTGATCTGCACTGGTTGCATGGGTAGAATCTGTTGCTATCTGCAGGCTTGAGGGTTAAAATATAGTTAGCTATGGTGGCAGCATTGTAAAATGTTGTGTATGATCATCAACACATTTTGTATGACAACAGTTTTAAACTCATTTAAATCTAATTAACCCTATGAATACATAGACGTATTGACTTACTTACGCCACCATCTTAAAGCCTGGCCCAAGTAGCGGTGTGGCTGAGTAATTGACGTGTCAGACTAGTAATCTAAGGATTGCTGACCGCATGGGTTCAAACCTTGTCAGGGGCAGCCTTGTTTCCTTGAGCAAGAAACTTCACATTCATTGCATAGTAATGGTTGGTTCCTGGGTAAACGGATTCCAGACTGTTTCAATAAGATTATAGCTTTCAACACAATCAAACTAAAATAAATTTGTATAAACTAAAGTCTGGCCAGCCTTCCTATTAATCACCTTGCAGTCTTGACAAGGCTCGATATCAGCTTGATTTTTAATATTTTGATACTGAAACCCCTAAAACTTGCAATGGACAGTTCCAAATCCAAGGAAGGTCAAGTCTATTATACAAATTTAGTGGGGTTAAGAGCAAAACAAGTAGCAAAAAGCCTATCGTCTGCTTTATGTAATAACATTTAACAAGCTGTAAATGTAGGTTTTATAAACCTAATTAATCCTGGGCATTTGATCCGTTATATAATGAATTTTTATGTGAAATGTGAGCTTTTCATCTGATGAAGATGATTTAGGCCGAGAACTGAAAGAAATCTGCTCAAATAATAAATATTGAAATCTAACTGAGTCAAGTGGTATTGCTTGCAGATATTTTGTGTGGATAGGATATTTCTCTGTGGTTTGTATCAAATTGTTCTGAATATCGAGGGCTTAACGCAATAAGGGCGTAACTACATATTTTTCCAAAAATGGTTTTATATCACTTTTGACATTATTTTAGTCTAACTCATTAACCCTGAAAATTTGAACAAAGTATATTATTTATTTGTATCTACTTTTTGATAATACTATAAGGGCCTATCTCAAAGTGACTTATGTTTTTTATGCAATAAGGGAGTAACTTGACTTACGTCCTTATTGCATATATATAAAGCATCTAAGAGTTTAACTTCTTTTCTGCAACATAGGCATAGGTATATTAAACTAGAGGATGCTTTTGTAAAAAAGCGCATGTCTCCCCCAGTGCTGAGAATAACTGTGAATGGAAACAGGAACCTTTGACCTACTGACCATTAAAACAATAGGGATCATTTGATTAATAAGACCAATCATCCTATGAAGTTTGAGGGTTGTAGGTCAAAAGGAACTCTAGTTATCATCCGGAAATGAGAAATTGACCAACGGTCACTGTGACCTTGACCTTTGACCTACTGACCCCAAAAACAATAGGGATCATCTGCTCTATAAGACCAATCATCCTATGAAGTTTGAGGGCTGTAGGTCAAAAGGAACTCTAGTTATCATCCGGAAACGAGAAATTGACCAACGGTCACTGTGACCTTGACCTTTGAACTACTGACCCCAAAAACAATAGGGATCATCTGCTCAATAAGACCAATCATCCTATGAAGTTTGAGGTCTGTAGGTCTAAAGGAACTCTAGTTATCATCCGGAAACGAGAAATTGACCAACGGTCAGTGTGACCTTGACCTTTGACCTACTGACCCCAAAAACAATAGGGATCATCAGCTCTATAAGACCAATCATCCTATGAAGTTTGAGGGCTGTAGGTCAAAAGGAACTCTAGTTATCATCCGGAAACGAGAAATTGACCAACGGTCACTGTGACCTTGACCTTTGAACTACTGACCCCAAAAACAATAGGGATCATCAGCTCTATAAGACCAATCATCCTATGAAGTTTGAGAGCTGTAGGTCAAAAGGAACTCTAGTTATCGTCCGGAAACGAAGAATGGACAGACGGACTGACGGACGGACGGACTGACGGACGGACGGACAGGGCAAAAACAATATGTCTCCCCCCGAGGTGGGGGAGACATAATAAATCACAGTAATGCCATAAAAGTGCAAAAAGATATCATTGTCTCTTTGAAACAATATCAGATCTATTTTAAGTATATAATAGTGTCCATGAAACAAGACAAATTGCTAAAATATTGAAGTCAAATCAATTTTAAATTCATTTTCTCTTCTATCTTATTAAAAAAAATTGCACAGTCATGCAAGAACAAACTGCATCATTTAAACCTCATAATGGTTTCTTTAACTGATACCATTATCTGCTGCTAAAACTTTTATTTTGTAAACAGAATAACTGAGTTATATTATTACTATTTACTGATGTACCAGGTGACAGGACAAACGTTAAAGATTTTTTCTATAGCTCTGTATAACAATTACATCACAGATATTTTGCATACTTTTGTACTGTGTTTTAAAGACATTCATTTAAACATAAAATAAAATCTGCTTAAGTATTTAAAAACATTCAAGTTTATCAATTAAATGAAGATATTAAATAACACATCCTATTTTCAATGTTTCTTTTAATATTTATTTTTTCTTGTAAGAGATCATTTACAGAGTATACCACATGTCTGATGTTTCTGAAGTCATTCTCCTAGTGAAACAAGTAACTGATAACTTCCTATGTACATAAAGGCTTTAGATTAATTTGAGGAACAAACTCCACTGAGGTACAAAAGCCTAAAATATGAATTTCTTAAAAACAGGCAAAATATTTGCAAAAAGTGATTAAAAAATACACCCAGAAATATATTGAAAATCATATTTTTGTGTTAATCTTAGCCCGATTTAGTGAAAAGCCTTGCAATGCTTTTCAATTTCGGGTCATTTTTCACAATTAGAATTATTACTCTGGTAAAACAGTCTGAGGGATTGAAATGAAATTTTGTACACCTGTCCAGGTCTAGACTTATATCAAATGGAACATTAATGTCAAAAAATAACATCTAGTCCTGGCAAGGCATAAAATCTCAGTTGAGTCCCTTTAAAGGCACATCATGCGCCAGAAAGGACTAATTTTTGCCTTCTGTAGAAAGGGTTTTACAATGTATATATAATAGTTTCAGAGCATGTAAGATACATATCATACGAACAAAGTAGCACTGAATGTGAAATTTATTTGTCATAAAATTTGCAAAATATAAACAAAGCAGTATTTTAACTGCTACAAAAAATGCCAAAAAAGAAAAGAAACAAATAATGGCTCAGCTGTATTTCAAATGTGTTACTTTTTGGAAACTGTAAAAGAACATAAAAAAAAAGCTTTAGAGAAATAAAAGCATTTCTAGAGCGTAATGGGCCTTTAAATAAGACCAAAATGTATTTAACTCATAACTCCAGTATATTGATTGAGGCAAGCAACTTTCAAATCAGGTGTGAGTGTATTTAACACTGCCTACTGTCCTTTAATTTTTTTCAAAAATATTCTTGGAAAATTTTTACAAAAAATATTCTGCAAACTTATTGCCCCTAAACTTTTTTTAGTTAATATTAATTACCTTTAAAACTTCAGAATTTAAATTACATACATGTAATTGATGCTATAGTATAATTATAGTAACATCCCTATGGTTATCAATAGTAAATTTCAAATTTGAGGGCTTCAAACCAACTTTTACAATTTGGTAATTGAAACCCATTAATCTAATTATGGGTAGGAATAACAAGACAATCTAGAAAAGGGGTGATCAGTGGCAGAAGTTAACTAGCATATTACACTTTTCATTTAAAGTTGTTTAAAAATGGTTTAATATTATCTACATCATACCAGAGAGACTTTTTAGACATTATTTTCATGGTTTACTAAAAAATTTACTAAAAATCTGATTTGAATTATGTAATCCTGTAACAAGCCACTTTATCATTTAGGAGATAATGTACTTAATTTCAAAATTGTCATGTACAAATATTATGATCATAAGGAACAACACAGAAAAACTATTTGCTTTATGATACCCATGAATTTAAATGACCTTATGTCTTGCTAACTTCTTTTGAAAAGTAAACTAACTAAAATTAGGCAAGTTGTATTTGAGTCTTCTATATCCTACTAACGTCCACTGTCAAAAGTGTTGTGGGTGATAGCATGAGAATTGAGACACGTCTTAACCTGTCAGTTGTTCCTATACTACTGAGTCAATGCAATTATTTTATCTTAGCAACAAAGATTGGGATATAGCCGCTTACTTACATTATGTAGAAGAATTGTTGTGGATCACACCATTGGATATTTTATTAGATCTTAAAGTGGTAGTCCAGAAATCAAAGTCCCCATTATTTTCCATGTGAGTAGGGCAGAGAAAACATAATGACAAGTGCATAAGGAGTCGAAGTACTTAAAGGTATTAATGGATGGCAAGTTTTTGAAAAACTGCTCATTAATATTTTTTCACAAACAAACCAAGTGATCTAAATAGTTATTCAATAAAGCTTAATTTTTCATTCGAGCCCAATCCCTTTAAGTCTAACAATGTAATACTATAATTAGAGAAGATGGACAAAACCCCACATGTCAAAACATATTACATATTTATCAGAGGAAAAACTTGCTGCATACAGCTTAATTTCCTGATAGAAAAAGGATTACTAAGCATTTGAAACAATTACATGTATAACGAATATTTTAAATGTGCACATATTTGAATATGTTTACACATATTTTTGAAAATCAAACCCTACTGTTATGATTGTGAATGCATAAATATTGTAGTTATTGCCCCTCTTCATCTAGTCTAAGAAATGATGGCATAGAAATGATAGCAATCACCTTTCAAAAATGAAAGGAATCAATGAAGGAAACAGAATGGTAACTTTCACAAAAACTTCATTTTTAATTTTCATGCAAGTCTTAAATGACACACATGATAGCTATGCTTTACTGGTTCAATGTAATTACAAAAGGTTGTAATGTTTAGACAAAAATAAAGTCTGCAGCAATTTCAATTAAAAAATGTAGTTAAAAATATTTTTGTCAAGTTCTTGAATACATTAAGCACTTAATTAATTTAATTGTATGCTAAACTTATTCCAAAAAGAATAAATTAAAACTTAAATAAATAAAAAATTTAACATATATTTCAATATATTGAATAAAATAAGTTAGGCATTTATCATATAAATAAGGTCTGAATATAACATCAGAAGGTATAAATTTCAATGTCACATTGTAGAATTGTGAATACATTGATGTAGACTATTAGGTATTTCTTGAAAAATCATTGAAAAAGTTAATTATCCTATTTTGATTGAATTATATGTAGACATGGTACCATATTGCATAACAAAAAATGCCCATGTTTAATGTAAATCTTACTGCAATATGGGCGTAAGTAATACTTACACCCTTATTGCATATAATATTATCTCTCAAATTATATGTAAAAGTTATGCAACAAGGGCATAAGTAATAAAATTGCAAATAAAGTGTTTTTTACTTAATTCATTTTGATTTTGTTATAAGTTATATTTAGAATGTATATTTTCATATCACAAAACAAAGTAATGTAATGGGAATATATAGAAACAAGAAAATGAGTTAGTTTTTTTGCTCTCCTGTAAAATTTTCAAAAATGTAGTTACGCCCTTATTGCGTTAAGCCATCGATATGTAAAAACTCCCAATATTTATTTCAAAGTTTCATAATGTGTTTTTAAATAGTTTTATATATCACATATCAGTAATAGTCTGAATAGGTTATATTTTATTTGCTTATTTATTTGTTTTAGAATGGTATATTAAACTATATTATGAACCATATAATGTATGAAATTGTATATTTTTAGGAATTTCTGAGCTGGATCAAGCATCTAGTGGATTTGAAGATTGCAGTAGTCTGATTCGACCAAAAGCTTCTGTTGACAGTACGCACACGACAGCAGCGCCCTCTGTGAATGAAAGTACCCGCGTACATAAACCGCAGTCGTTGGGTGATAGTCTGAGAATATCTACGAAGCTTCCATCAGAGTCGGATTTTGAGAAAACAAGTAAAGCGCCCTCTATATCTAGTACAGCAAGCAACAAATCTTCTGGTACGTCAGTTCTTATGCCACTGTACATTTACCACCGCAAATTTTTTTTTTCCCGTCTATATTTCTGCCTGTTTTTGTGTGTGTCCGTCAGTCTGTCTGTCTGTGTTTGTACTTTAACCTTGATCATTTCATCAATCTGCGTGAATATGCTAGTTTTGACTCCAAATTTTGACTTGATGTTTGTTTGGACAACAGCTTTATTTTGAAGTCTTGATAAAAAATGGCCATGACCTTGAAATGTCCTTGATTGTTAAGGTCAGATTTCAGAAACTTTCATGATCACTTGGCTTTTTGTATAGATTTTTTGGATGACAAGGACTTTTTTGATTATATAGACTTTTTTGATTATATAGATTTTTTGGATTATATAGACTTTTTGGATTATATAGACTTTTTGGATTATATAGATTTTTTGGATTATATAGACTTTTTGGATTATATAGACTTTTTGGATTATATAGATTTTTTGGATTATATAGATTTTTTGGATGACAAGGACTTTTTTGTTCTTTTACTCTTTATTAATACTGTAAAATAATTCTCAATTTAAATTTTGTTAGAAAAAACAGTTGACTATGACATAGGGTCTGTTGTCTGTGAACTTACATGTAAGTTATTTCAAATATTCAAATAACAGCTATGATAATCATTTAAAATTTAAAGTACTGAATTCAAAATTCTAAATTTGGCTTTAGATTCTGACAATTGATTCCTAAGCAATCCATATTTATATTGAAAATATTATTAAGATTGTGAAGTCTGGAATTTTGTTGATGAGACGAGAATGTTTCATTATGGCTGTATATAAGTTAAGGCATACATGTTTTAGTGTTGTATCTATGTTTTTTATTGGTCTCTTCTTTTTCAATATTGTAAGCCTGAGAATATAACCTGCCACGATCAATTTTAAACATTTTGTCCTTTTTCTGAATATAGTGATCTAGTGTGGTAATAAAGCTAGGGGAAAGAAGATAGTAAAATTGGGCACTTGCTGTGAAAAACTAGCGATTTCTCGTAAATTATTATATTTATGAAAGCTTTCTGACAAGTGACTCTTATTTCTTGTGAAATTATGGTG